AAACCTAAGTCCAAATCATCCCCTCAATAAAAAGCGCTCTCTGCAGCCTTTCTCCCACTATTAGTTCCTCGCCGTTACCGAACAAGGCGTGCTGGATGGTTCAGTCGGTAGAGTGTCGGACTGTGAGTCCAACAGTCGCCGGTTCGAGTTTGGGCATGAGGGGAGGCGTTCCTAGCACATTTTTTTTATTACTGTCAGCTACATCACAGATGTTTTCGACTACTTTCATGACTTGCAGTGGTTCAGAAACGACGAGAATATGAACGAGACTAGATCTACTACGCATGTGTGAGCAGGTGCTCCTGTCCAATCATACTGCACTATTTGTTTGTTAAACTGAAGTCAGCAGACACCCATGTTCTGGAGAAGAGATGATTGCACCATACGTTAGGGTGTCATATGAAGCGAAATTCCATCTTGTATGAGGTCATAATACTTTTTGACATTATCTTCTTCTGCCAATAACGACATGAGCCTTCATAAACTTTTTTTATTGTTTTCGCTCAAAGACGTGGCCAAAACAGATGCTACTTACATCAGAAAGTTTTCATAAGATACAATTTTCAATTTAATTTGATGCTGATATCGTGACTGAGAAAACTTAGAGAAAATATCTGCAGACGATTCATCAGCGATCTGCTACGACAAAGCTTTACATCGTCACCTGCTAAACAAGTTCAGTGAAGAGAGAGAAAAGAGAGACAGACAAAAACAACAAGCAAGGCTCAGCAATTTGCGGAAAATGTTATATATACAAGGCACTTAAAGAATCTCCTCATCCTAACATAATAAAGATGTACATATTTTCAGCACCCAGAGAACTATCACAACAGAAATAGAACGAAAACTCGGATAATAGGCAAACAGCAAATACCTGTGCAGAGCTTCAAAAACAATAAATTCGAAAGATCTAACACTATAATAGGAAAGAGAAATGACAGACAATATAGCAGATACAAATGAAGCTAAACAGAGCATGCAACGATTACATTCCTGAAGGTTTTGAGCGAATGGATACCGCAACATCTGATTTGCTGCGACACGGCGATCGAACAGCCCAAGTGCAGTTGGAGAAAAGGCGGCAAAAATGACTTTGAACAGCCCAGTAGTCCATCTCTCGAAAATTGTTTGCCCTGACCACGCCGAGAATATCGTTAACCTAGCGAAAAATCTATTACTTAAGGTGGCCCATGAATACTAACTGCTGTATCACCTACCATAACTCAATGATGTGGAGGCAGATACCCTTGTAGAAGCTGGAGAGTACAACTTTGATAGATCGCTTATGATTCCAAGCACCATGCACCTCAAAATAAAACGAACTTGAATAATGAAAACGAATTTCCAAAACAAGAATAAGCAACGTTTCAAGAAATTTTAACCAACTGGCTATTTACAAGGCATACTAAGAAATGATACTTAGCGTAAACTCGAACAGCACAAACAATGTATATGGTAAAAATCCCCGTGTCCTCTTCGGTAGAAATCCAAAAAAAATCCCCTCCTCTAATATTGATGTGAACGAGTTACATAGCTTCAAAATCGCGCAGCGCACTTCTAAACAAGCATTTTCCGAGGTATTAGTCGGATCAAAACAACGAATCCATATTATTAAAGGCGATTATTGCTGTAGAAGGACAAAGAACATTGTGCACGGCATATATCCATAATCTCAAAAGATTTCCTGCTCTCCTGTGCACAAT